TATCTTTTGATTGTAACTTTTTACTTACCAAATTAATTCTATATAAAATTTCATGCCATATCACTAAACTTAAAATAAATTCAAAATTAGAAAATTCACCATTTACTAGTGATTCCGCATCTCTACAAACCTTACCATCATCACTCACTTGAGCTAATTTTGTTAATGCTTCTTTTATTTGAAAAGGTTGAGTTTTTATTGCTTTAACACTTTCAATGTGACTTTCCCAACGAGTAGTAGATAATGATTTTAGGGTTAATTAATCAACATGATCAAGTAAAACACTCCATCTATGTGTGGAGCTAGAAAAAACATTATATATTGTTTTACACGTACCAAAAAAAAGTTTTAGCTTTATGACAAGAATTTTCCATATCACACAAAACTAAGTTTAAACTATGACATCCACAAGGCATATAAAAAGCTCTTGAGTTTATATCAAGTAATCTTTTTTGTTTACACCTTGATGTTTGCCTTTCATATTTGCTCCATTATCATATCCTTGTCCTCGGATACAATTTATATCCAAGTCAAGAGATTTTAAAGCATTTTGTAACACATTAAAAAGTCCTAAACCAGATGTATCTTCTACAATTAAAAATTCTAAAAAAAAACTCTTCAACTTTTATTGGAACACTTGTAACATCAACACATCTAAAAATTAAAGTTATTTGTTCTTTACGACTTGCATCCGGAGTGCAATTTAGAATTATCGAAAAATATTTTGAATTTTTTATTTTTCTAATAATTGCACTTTTTACTTTGGATGCTAACATTTCAATTAATTCATTTTGAATTTTATGACTAAGGTAATGAAAATGACTTTTTTTTTCTTGAATAAGTTGAAAATGGTGTTTCACTACGGGATCAAACTCAACAATCATTTGAAGTACACCTAAAAGTTACCATTAGATTTCTCATATATTTTTTCATTAGTTACACGAAAAGCCAAGTTATATTCAGCTAAACATTTTACAACAACAATAATTCTTATCAAAACTTCTTTCCAATGTTGAGTATCTTTTTTTATTCTTTCTTGTAACTCTTTATCAATTGTTTCATTTTTCCTTAACCTAAGTCGTGTTTGTGTCCATGTTTTTAAATTAATCATGTGTTCAGAACTATGTTCATGTTCATTCAATTTTTCACTAAGATGTTTCCAATCATTAATTCATTCGGTTGCCAAATTACTTCTAGATCGAGCTGTTTTAAATAACTTACAACAAAAACAAAACACTTTATCAAGTTCTTTCGAATACACCAACCACTTTCTATTATAAGAGTCACCATTTCTTAATTTACGAACATAAAATTCACAAGAAAAATGTCTACCTAGTGCATCTTTTGGAAAAAAATTGTTATTTTCAATTTCCCTAATAGGTCATTTTTCTACAAGCAAATCTTTCAGTTTTAAATCTAACTTATCTCATACTCTTGTATCAAAAATATTAATATAACTAGATTTATCAACAAAATCATTATTTTCAAGATCATTAAAATTTTCAATAGGTTCATTAGAAGTTTCAATTGGACCTTTAGAATTATCAACAAAATCATTAGTTTCAACATCATTAGAATTTTCATCATTATTTTCACTTCTAAAAAATACTTATTTAAAGATCCTTGTAATTATTTAGTAAGATCTTGTTCTCTTTGTTTTCTTTTTCTATTTTGAGCACCAGATGGTTGTTTTCTAGGAAACATATTTAAACTTCACAAATAAATTAAAAGTCAAAATGTAGTAACAACAAAGAAGGATACAACCTGAAGTTACTTAGCAATCCGTATCCACAACTTGAAGTTATCAATCCGTATCCACAACCTAAACAAAAAAAAGAAATAGTCTCATTTAGATTTTCAGAAATTAATCTAACAACATATTATTCAAAAATAAAAAACACATAATTTTTTCAACTTCATAATTTACATATCAACAATTTATAGAAAAAAATACAACAATTTATATAAAACAACAGTTTATCAGAAAACATGAGTTTATCAGAAAAATACAACAGTTTATACAACAATTTATATAAAACAATAGTTTATCAGAAAAATCAAAATACGAATTGACATATCAGATTTCAGATTCTATAAAAACAATAAAAGTTATTTTGATCATAAATCAGAACATTTACAAGAAATAGAAAAAAGAATTATCTAGAAAATTAATGAAGCTTAGACTGCTTAATGTAGTTTACGATGAACAAGACTACAAGTCTGCAACTTGATCGAAATTTCACTTCCCTGGGCAGTAACCTATATAAGAAAACTGAAATTTCATAAATTTTAACCGATAATCACTATTAGATTTTCGAAAATTTAAGTAGGTTATGCAAGAAAATTGAAATAATAGATAAAACTTACTGGATTATTACAGGATTAGGACTTTAGGAGGACAAATTCAATCAATCCCAATTTGACACCTTTGAATCTTCACTTTAACACAACAGATTTACTGCAATAGATAAACTATTACAGCTTTAGAGTAGTAATGGTTGATTTAGAAAGAAAGAACATAGGATAAGGGCAGAAGGCGTGAAGCTAACGAGAGAAAGGGCGAGAGAAAGGCTGAAAGCTGAAGTGAACTTTCGACTGTGGACGAGAGAGGCATAGCGCGATGACTTGTGGCCTTGTGGGCGATCGTCGATCGATATAGCCAAGGGTGTAAACTGTAACGGTCCTCTCCATTCTCCAGAAGGGACGCCCGACGCCTCGTGTTCTTCATCTTTTGCGTGTTATGTCTGTTTTGGATCAAAGAGACGAAGAAGAATTGAAGAGACAAAGAGTCGATATGCGTCTGTGTTGATGGCGCTGATTAGGTTGCCGCCTCCTGCCCCTTATGTCTTCTGTCTTCACATTTTACTGGAGTAACCAAAGACCCAATATACAATAACATTATAACAGACTTTAAATTGATGCCCTGGGCCATGACCCAGCTTGTCCTGGGCTTGGGCCGGCACTACCGAAAAGTTAATTATTTAATATTTTTTTTTATTTTTTATTTTTTTATTATTTTTTTGGAAACGGGTGTGTTGCCGTCCATGCCATCTCAATCCGTATTGAGTCATAGCGGTGCATAATTGAAACCGGTCTAAACCGGATTACTCTAACTCCTAAGGCTGGAGGGAGTGGTGCCACCGAAACCGCACTCCCTCCCTCGCCACGTAAGCGCCACATCACATTTTACCACTTAAGTGTGGTTTCTTGCCACACCAAGGGTGTGGTGCCACACTTTGCATTTCTTTTATTTTTTTGTTTTTTTAAGTATTTTAATTTAATAAAACTTCTTTTTTTTTTAAACTAATTTAATTTAATATACCTTCTATTTTAAAAAAAAAAAAACATAATTCTTCATTACTTGAAAAAAAAAAAAAACAGTACATTGCGTTACTAAAAAAAAAACCACACACATGACATTTAAATAACCCTATAAACTTAAAAAACATAAATAAAATAACTAAAGGAAACTACATAAAGTCGTTCTCCGAGAACTCGTCTTCGGGGTCATCCGGTGGATCCAAATTAAGGTTAATGTTTTGAACCCCGTAAATGTGTTCCACCAAGTCATTGCGAAAATTATGAAATGTTTCATTGCAACGTATCTCTGCTCTTCTGTTTATATACTCTTCGCCACCAATTTCTATTGGTTGTGTCTCTGGTATTATTTCTTCCTCGTCAAACGCACATATCGCTCTTCCTTCGTCTTCAATAATCATGTTATGCAATATAATACACGTATACATGATTTCTTGAAGTTTTTCCTCGCCCAAATAAGCTGCTGGTTTTTTCAGTATGAACCACCGTTTCTTCAGAGCTCCAAAAGCACGCTCAACATCCTTCCTAGCTCTTTCTTGAGCTCTCTTGAATTTCTTTCGTCTAGAACCATGTGGAGCTGAAAACGACTTAACAAACACAGCATACTCAGGATAGATTCCATCGACCAGATAATAACCATACTTATATGGCGTTCCATGCACTTGAAAAGAAGAATCTGTGCGGATCATCGTATATGTTGTTAAATATTGGTGAACGGTTAAGAACGTTGATGTCGTTAATCGAACCAGGAGAACCAAAAAAAGCATGCCAAATCCACGTATCTTGTGATGCAACTGCTTCAAGTACCACCGTTGGGTGACCATGATCACCTCGTGTAAATTGCCCATGATATGCTGTAGGGCAATTTTCCCATGCCCAATGGAGACAATCTAAGCTTCCTAGCATTCCAGGAAACCCATGCACACTAGCATGATGAGCTTGCAATTGCAAGATGTCATTACGTGTAGGCTTACGTAAATATTTTGGACCATAAAACTGAATGACAGTTTTGCAGAAAAAATGGAGACTGTCTCGTGCTGTCCTAGCAGACATCCTAAAACTTTCGTCTAACGCATCAGGCGGAATGCCATATGCTAACTGACGAAGTGCGGCCGTGCATTTTTGTAACGGAGTGAAACCGGGTGTACCTCTAGCATCGTAGCGTTGTTGGAAAAAACTGCACTCCCTCGTTACATCTTCAACTATACGTTCGAATAAACCTTTGAGCATTCTGAAGTGCCTACGAAAATAATACCCTTGGTAAGTGGCATTCTCTGCAAAATAGTCTTGCACCAAACGTTGGTTGGCTTCTTCACGATTTCTGTAAATGTATCTTCGTGTTCTCTGTTGAGAACTTGCAGCTACGTTGTTACATACAACGTTGTATGTTTGTTCCGCCATTTGAACACACGCAATAGCGGTATCAAAAATAGTCTGAAATTCTTCAGAAGATGACATTTTTTGGAGAGTGATGATTTAATTTTTTTTTTTTTTTTGAGAGAAGATTGTATTGTGAAAAAATTAAGTTTGATATGTGTATTATATAGGAAAAAAAAAAAAAAAGGGGAAATTGCGTTCAACGGTCAAGAATATGACCAACCAATCAAATATCGCGGTCTTCAAGGGCCGCACTGCGATCTCAATGGCAGGAAACCGCACCCTGGGGACGGTGTTCCCTACTGATGTGGCACCAAGGTGCGATCCCAAACCGCACCATACCCTATAGTCTAAGCAATTTACTGGTGAGAAGTAGAACACGTGTATTAAAGAAACAAACACGTGTGTTACCGATACGTCGCCGTTCCTTTATTGCAACGGCACTTCCAATTTCGTGTCGTAGTCGGAGTCTCCACCACAGACATCGGTGTTTGTTCTATACTGAGATCCTCCGCCACAATCCTGCTAAAACCCTAGAATCCGAACCCCCAGATCCCAAATCTAACTATTCGAATCTATTACACCCGATTCCTGCCATACATTAGCAGAAACAGCGTTAAAGGAACCCTGAAAATAGCTAGGGTTTTAATTTTGGAAAAAGTTTTGGAAAGAAAGAGAAGTGATGGTTGAGGATGACAATGGAAGGAATTAAAAAAGTTGTAATTTTAGATAGCGGAGAAAATGGGAGCTCCTCGTCACCAGCTGACGGAAAACCTCCCAATCCACTCACAACCACCCCAGGCTTTCGCCGATGCTTCAGCGGCTCAGGTGACGTCGTGGATTCTTCCTCGATTAAGAAGTCTTTCGTTCGTCACCCATCTCTGGTAAGCTTTTCATCAATTCGGGATAATTTTTTGCTTTTTCCTAATTTTGAATGTGATTTAGAGATTAGATCTTACTTTTATTATTTGGTAACTTTCGAAGATTTGGGGATTTGATGAACTTTAACTAAATGCCCTTGTTCTTTCCATGGCTACATTAAATTTTAGAGCTAATAGTAATCACCATTAACATACTTTTGTGGCATTTGTAATTTTGTCTCCCGAACTTTGATAACGGGCACTAAAACCATTGTAAGAGTACGAATTTTTATGGTTTTTGAAAGTTGGATGATTCTTATGACAGTTTCAGAAAGTTGGATAATTTTAGGAGCAATTTTACGTATCTAGCTATTATACTTTGCCCTACAAAAGTATGAAAACATTGATTTTGAAAGTCATATCATTGCTGAATTTTGGAAGGTGATGATTCGATCTGTTTAGGCAAAATGTTGCTTTATTTTATTCCAGACCAATAATCATTTGCTTGTATAGTAAGCAATGAGAACTTGTTGAGCATCCCATTGCAATTATGTTACTCCATTATGGATGCTATTGACCACTTTTACAATTATATCTATGATGCTGCAAATTATGGTCATGGGAACTGTTGTCTGTTTTACATTACAATATGACCCCCTCACCTCAATTCATTATCAAATCTGTATTATTGAATATTTGAACCACATTTTTATCATCCATGTGAAGTCAATGGGGTTTGACCAGAAGTTATATGTATATATATGTATAGGTGAGGACAAGGATGGAAGATGCATCTGTTGAAATACTCAATCAAGAAGATTGTAAGGCTGAATTTGTGCCACTTGTCAGATCAGGAGCATGGGCAGACATGGGATTTCGTGGAAGCATGGAAGATGTATATATCTGTGCTGACAGTTTTGTGCATGATTATGGTGGCAAGAATCCAATTCAAGGCCCAGGTGCCTTTTATGCGGTATGTTATGTTCTATCTTTTGGTTCCCTCTCATCTGTGTAAAAGACGTGAATGCCCTCCTCATCCTCAAGAGCAAAAAAGAACCCTAGAAATAGAATTGTGCTTTTCTTAACTTGCATTTGCTATATGTATATTTTTTAAAATTTCTAGGTATTCGATGGACATGGAGGAAAACATGCAGCTGATTTTGCATGCCACCATTTGCCAAGATTTATTTTTGAGGATAATGACTTCCCAATGGAGGTCGAAAAGGTCATTTCTGCAGCCTTCACACAGACAGACACTGCTTTTGCTGAGGCTTGCACTTTGGATGCAGATCTTTCTTCTGGTACAACTGCATTGGCAGCTCTTATTATTGGGAGGTTCGGTTTTGTTTCTTTTTTGGATCGAATGTGAATAAATGACCATTTTACCCTTCTTAGTGTATTAATCTTTATCTCCGCCTACAACCGCAGCTCTTTAGTGGTGGCAAACGCGGGCGACTGTCGGGCGGTTTTATGCCGCCGTGGCAAAGCAATCGAGATGTCTCGGGACCACAAACCGATCTGCATTAAAGAACGGAAGCGTATAGAAGCTTCCGGAGGATACGTGTATGACGGCTACCTTAACGGTCAACTAAACGTGGCCCGCGCAATCGGCGACTGGCACATGGACGGGCTCAAAAACCAAACGGGTGGCGGTGGGCCCCTCAGCTCTGAACCCGAGTTCATGACCACAAAACTAACAGAAGAAGACGAGTTTTTAATCATCGGTTGTGATGGGATTTGGGATGTTTTCATGAGCCAAAATGCGGTTGATTTTGCAAGGAGAAGACTTCAAGAACATAATGATCCGGTTTTATGTAGTCAAGATTTGGTCAACGAGGCGCTTAAGAGAAAAAGTGGTGATAATTTGTCGGCGGTGGTGGTTTGTTTTCAGGCTGAGCCGCCACGGAACTTGGTGGCGCCGAGGGGGAGAGTGCAACGGAGTGTTTCGGCTGAGGGGTTGAAGGAATTGCAGAGCTTTTTGGATGGTTTGGAGATTTGAGTTTTGGGTATTTTTTTTTTTTTTTTTTTTTTTTTTAATTATATGGTTTTTTGTTAGATGTTGAGAGGGATTTAATTGTTGAAGTGTAACATATGCGGCGAACGTAGGTTAATTGTTGGTTTTGGAGTTTTGAGTCTTGAATTTGATAAAAGATCATTGTTTGTCTTCTTAGTTTGAACTTTCTTTTTGGTTACATAGGACGAGACATAAAATGTACTCTGTTTGTTTGCTTTGCAACAGATACTGATGTCAACGAGACAAAAAATGCATAATTTATCTGACTCTGGAATTGTCCTGGACGGATAGGCGAGGCTTGCTCTCGATGTTTGTTGAAGTCTGTCTGCAAATGCAAAAAACATGAATATTGTCTCATAACCGCAAATAGTTTTATAAAACTAGCATGGGTTTGACATTGTTTTTTTATTTGGTTGCTTGAATCTAGTATCATGTTTTTGTACACCAAATTTTGTGCATTTGGTACCCAAAAGTGTAACATTCATTTAATTTGTGATAACTTTTTTAAATCGTGTGTTTTTGTACATCAAATGTGGTCTATTTGGTACCCAAAGTTGTAACATTCATTTAATTTGTGATAACCTTTTTAAATCGTGTACCTATGTAACTAGAAGGTTGGTGGGCATGACCAAACATGTTTGTTAAGAGAAATTAGTTTTGATATGCATTGCATTAATTTGAATGAAACAGATATTAGTTTTGATATGCATTGCATTAATTTGAATGAAACAGAAAGTGCAAAATTTTATTCCACTACAAAAGATGTAAATTTCATCATTCTCATCATCGAAGATAGACTTAGAAAACATGTCTAGTTAGTCTTTTTCTATGTAACAAACACAACTACAAATTGATACGTCAAGATTGTTGCGAGCAAGAAAAAAAAAATCTCATGGGAATTTTGAAAATCTAACACCTAGATTATTGAGGGAAATGGTTATTGCATAACAATTTAGCTTTTTTCTTTTGATATTTATGTCATGATTCAATCTCATATAATATTGTTAGAGACATGATCTATATTCTTAACCCGTTGTTGTATATATTTTTTTCTAAGGTTGCAAATAGTGGACTCATTAAATGGGGTCGCTATGCTCGCTAAGGGTCGATGAACACCGCCCCCTAGCGCTTGCTAGCGGGCTTGCTAAGCAATCCTCGTTACATCCTTGGCGAGATGAGAGAAAAATACATGGTGAAACCTAATTGGTGGAAAGGGGTTGTGACAGATTGCTTTGACCAACATCAATTTTCTAATTTAAATTTATTTATTTCACCCAGCAAACAAACTTGATTTTAATTAAAAAAACGTTTACTTTTATGACAATTCACATACTTTTACATTTTAATAATTAAAAAAAAAGAGGCCCACAACTAACTCTCTCTCTCTCTCTCTCTCTCTCTCTCTCTCTCTCTCTCTCTCTCTCTCTCTCTCTCTCTCTCTCTCTCTCTCTCTCTCTCTCTCTCTCTCTCTCTCTCTCTCTCTCCATACAAATTCTTTACCGACGACATAACACCTTCGTGGTTTTCCACAATATTACTCCTCCCCACTCGTGACAAAAGATCAATGCTGCCATAGTCGTTTATTAATTCAGAATTCGACCGAGATAGATTTGTATTCAGACGCCGGCGACGTGTATTCCGGCCAACAATGTTTTTAAACCCAATTTCGTTCAATTCACGAGTATAACTTTTGAACTGAATCGGACGTGGTATTCCAGATGCATGGCTAGAGTCAAACCCTAATTGAGGTGACGTCAAACTTGAGCTAAAGTTGTTGTTCTGTATAGGAGGAGTAGCAGTTCTTGATCTACTCTGAATCCCAACGTCAATGTTAAAATTGGGTTCATGGCGAAGAAGCACACATACACTAGAAAGGTCTTGAGCAGTTTTTACAGAGGTAATTAGGTTCAAATGTCCTCTAATTTCGGTATGACGACGTCGTTTCTTTTTTTGGTTGAGGTGGTAGTAAAACGCCGCTCTCCGCCACTACATTTTCTTGGCCACCCAACGCAGTTGTAGTACTGGAGTTGGAAAATGTTCTTGGGCTGTAGTTTTTGAATTAGATGGGTCTTTGCCTTTGGCCATCATTGGATCTCTGAATGGTGGTGGCCGTTGCCGTCGCCGTTGAGATGGAAACATTCCTAGCATTAGCAACCGGAGCAGATTAATTTTCTTGAACCGAAGAAGATTAACCCTCATGAACAATATTTCGATTGCATTGAGAAGTTTTCTTCGTGGAAGACTCTCCTTTATCCAAGACGATTGTGTGCTCAATCTTTCGTTTTCCTTTTCTGTTCATCCTCTCAGAACCCCCTTCTTCAATTTTGAAAGAGAGAGAGAGAGAGGGCCCAAGTTTGATCTATCTATTATCCAAACCGGCTGAAACAAGTAAATAATCTAAAAGAACATGTTACCTACAACTTAGCTCCTTCATAAAGCCATAAAAAATTTTAGTGACTAAAAGAGTAAACCCTAAAAAGTTCGTAGGCTATATGTGTCATTTTCCCCACAAAATATCATTACCTTCATCCACCAAAATATCTTCATCCACCAAAAGAACATGTTACCTACAACTTAGCTCATTCATAAATATTTTCAATTCACTAAATAAAAATATCTTCATCCACCAAAAGAAAACCCCAAGAAACAACAAACAAAAATCTTCACACCTTCCGTCATTAAACCTTCCACCTCCAAACCCTTAATCACCAAACCTTCCATCCCCGCTATGTTATCGACCTTTATTTGATCAACCCATTCATTCACTCGCTAGCTACTACTTTCTTACTATGGCTCCACAAATGTTTCCATTCAATCCGTACTCTTCTCAAGCCATGCCATTTTACCAAAACAAATCTTAACCAATACCTCGTCTAAATTTTGATATTGATCCGTTTTAGATAGTTCAAGAAACTCAATTGTTTTCACAAGCTCAACCTAAAAGAAATTTTCAATCCCAACCACTCCGTCTATTCGACGAGTCAACCGATTCTTCTGATGAAGGACCTGTTCAAGAGTCATTTCAAGTGCCTGTAGTGGAACCAAAAGGAAAAAAAAATGGAAAAGGGAAGGCTCCACGCAAAGGGTGGACGGATAATGAAGAGAGGGCACTAGCACAAGCATGGCTAAATGTGTCGAAGGATCCGAAGACAGACGACGATCAAGATTCGACAACCTTCAAAGTTAGAGTTTGGCATAGTTTTTGCCACCGAATGAAAAAACAGTACCACAATCCTAACCAACTTTACTTGAAACGGAGGACCACCAACAAAGCCTCAATGAAGTTCAAAGGCATCTACATGAACACGATCTGCAACCCCCAAAGCGGTGCAAATGAGGTGGATGTCTTAGCAAAAGTTCGTCATATTTACAAGACAAAAGTCGGAAAACCTTTTGATAATGAGGCGTTTTGGGGAGTTGTGAAGGACAAACCAAAATAGATTAATCTAAAAAGTGCTGATGATTACGCGAGCATGTCTAAAAGAAGTAAAACTTCCAAGTCAACCCACAATCAATCTTCTGATCAGGGGGGGGGGATGATTAACATCAACAACGACGATCCATATGAAGTTCCAACTCGTCATTTGAGACGAGACAGAGCAAAAAGAAAGTTGAAAGGAGCACGAAGGTTATCGAGTGAAGTGGAAGATATAAGGAGCAACATCAAATGATTGGACGCTAAGCTTGAAGGTTTTTTTTTGGAATTAGGAATGAAAAAAGAAAGGAACCGTGCGCTAAAGCTTTTCTTAAACCCAAAAGAAGACTTGTCCGAGGAGGATCGCCATATTTTCAACAATGCAATGAAGCATTTTGCTAAACAATACAATTGTAATAAGGCGTAGTATTTTTATGTCTTAAATATAGTTTTTATTTACATTTTTCGTCTAGTATTAAATCGTGTTTTAGTCTACTATTAATTCGTGCTTCTAGTATTAAGTCAAATTTTTAGGTTTTATGTAAGTTTTTAGGAAGTAAGTCATGTTTTAATTTTTTAATTGTATTTTATGTTTTAAATTAATGTAACATTTTTTATTTAAATATTATTTGTTTGTCTTTAAAAAAAATATAATTTATATAATATTAAATGTTTATGTATAAAAAATAGAATTTATGTAATATTTATTTATAAAAAAGAATTTATGTAATATTAAATGTTTTTGTATTATAGAATTTTATGTAATATTTTGTGTATTAAAAAAATAGACCGTCACACCCCCAAAACCGATGAACGACGGAAACGTTCTGGGGTGGAGGACGTCATGTACAGTATCACAACAATGTAAAGTAGTAAACAGGCAACAACATCATCCATTGCATTAATAATATAATTTCATACAAGTGTGTTCTGTCAAGTTATATAGACACCAAAAATATACATCAAAAATAAAAGAGGAGTCTTGAAAACGCTCCTTCTTCTCAAAATCCGGCGCCTGTACCTGTCTACTGGTGACCTGAGAGTACAAATTATTTTGAAAGAGTTTATCAGCTTTAGAGCTGGTGAGTTCATAAGTATATTAGTGTATGAGTATGTATGAAAGCATTTGTAAGGTGTTTTGTAAGATGTATTGTGTATGTTTGTAAAGGTTTTGTGTTTGTTTGATCTACTCTAGAAAACCCTATGTTTCCTACTAAAAGTAGCCTTCTACCAAGGAATCTAGTGTCTGTGTGTATCTCTTGTAAAAGTGTGTATTTTCCCAATTCCGACTATCATTAACCAAAAATATAGTTTCTACATTACCGTGCATCGTGTGAATATCACAAAGTAAAATGTAAAGGGAAAATGTTTTAGTACTGTAACGTAGTTTTAAGTAACTACTGCTATACTAATTACCTTAAGCCAATTGTATATTTTAAGGTAACATGTGATCGACTTGTATCTTGCTACCGACTCAATAGTAAAGTGACAATGTAAGATGCCACAAAAATGACGTTTGACACCCGTAGACTTGCAAGTCCCACTGTAGCGAGCAGCAAGGTGTAGGATAGTCAATCCAGTATAGATTTATACACAAACCCATACGCTCCCTATTAAGGAGATTCTGATACAAAAACAGTCATGGCAGGTAGTGCCATGCCCTGCTTATTGGCTCACATGACTGTGTTTATGTATATATAATGTACATGTGTGCTAGCTGTATTGTGCGTTCTTTCTCTGTCTAGCCTGTAGGTTTGTTTCTCATCATAATGTCTATTGTTTGTTTCTCCTCACTCTGTCTCATGTTTGATTCTCATCATAGTATGTACTGACTCATGTATGAACTGACTTATTGTATGTTTCATTGTTCTAGTAATAGTATCTTCCTAAACTACCCCTATGGTAGCTTACTAATAAAGTATGAACATGTCTGTATGCCCTTGCTACCCAAGGGCATGGAATTGAATGAAAAAAATGGCCTTTTATATCTATATACATATACATAATATATAACTAGGATTCAAACGACCTTCGGACAACTAACCTTGATACCCTAAGACCACATTAAACAAGAACAGGAAGCAGGGTAGACTAGCAGTCCTAAGTCCTTTCAATCCTACTTATATAACTATATTTATATAGATACACAGAATATAAGTTTAAAAGAGTTTAAGTAAAAGTATTTGACCACTAAAGGAGTTTGTAAGACAATTTGAGGTAAAACAATTTGATAAATAGTTTGGAAAGTAAGTAAACCATTTGCTTGTTAGTCATTAATCACATGTGATTGATATAATAACTATAATTGTTCAACTTGTATTCCCCCTATAAAAGCATTTAAAAACATTTCAAAGGTTATTTTAGGGGTATGAACTCACCTGTGGTGAGTGGTTCTGATGACAATATTGGATCTGTTGCTAAGTATCAAGTGGTGACTTGAGTACACACACGAATCCTATTTAGCATATATTGGCACATATATGAATATAACTAGTGTTATGAACAACTAATTAATGAATTGGGACCACCTTAGGGACTAGTAAACACTTCTTTTGAAGTGTTACAACCATAAATGATTGTACGAAGGGTTAAAAGGCTATACAAGAGAGTGTATGGCCAAAATACACACTATATGTGTGTGTGCGGCCATGTGTGCAGCCAGGTGTGCTGCCAGCACATGTGTGCGGCCAGGTGTGCTGCCAGAAGTGTGTGCTTTCAGAAAACATGGTGTTCTTGGTGTTCTTGGTGAAAGATGTTACCTTTCCGGATGATACTTGAGAGTATTTTCGAGTCCTAGCTTTGTAGAAGTGTAAGAAATGATCAAAATGACCAAGGATAGTATATATATGAGGGTGTGTGTGGCTGGAGGTGTGTGTGGTTGGCCTGTGTGCGACTGGCTGGCCGCACACACCAGTTTTGGTGTGTTTGGCTCGTTTTTCCAATGCTACAACCAAACTAACCCATCCTCCGACACGTATCTCAATTATACTAAGCTTTAAGCACTCTTTTAGACCCAAAACTTCATTATAAAATAGCAAAACGAAGCTAACTTTGATATAAAAGAAGAATGTAAGCTAGAAATTTCGGGTTGTCACATCATCCCCTCCTTAGAAGGAATTTCGTCCCGAAATTATAATTTAAGCAATTTAAGTAATTACAAGCAATTAAGTAAAATGATGAGGATATTTCAGTTTCATATGATCCTCTCATTCCCAAGTGAATTCAGGTCCTTGCTTGGCGTTCCAACGAACCTTCACTATTGGGATACGACTTTGATTCGTTTGCTTGACCTCTCGGTCCATGATCTCTATTGGTTCTTCCACGAAATTGAGGCTCTCGGTTATCTCGATCTCGTCGAGTGGGATTACAAGAGTCTCGTCGGACAAACACTTTTTCAGGTTCTATACGTGGAAGGTAGAATGTACGTTACTAAGTTCGCTCGGTAGATTGAGTTTGTAAGCTACTGGGCCGATTCTAGCAAGTATCTCGAAAGGCCCAATGTACCTTGGATTTAGCTTTCCACGCTTTCCAAAGCGTATCAAGACCTTCCATGGTGAGACCTTCAATAGAACACGGTCGCCCACCTGAAATTCCAACGGTTTTCTACGTTTATCAGCGTAGCTTTTCTGTCGGTCTCTGGAGGCTTTCAATCGTTCACGGATCTGAACGATCTTCTCCGTTGTTTTTGATGGGTTTTGAGCATTCTAACACTTCCTAAGTGTACATGCAACCCTAATAACCTTGGATCTATGTTTGTGTTCCTTGAAACCTTGTGAGCCTAGCACCCCAAGTGTGATGCCTCAAATGCTTCACACAACACCAAATGCTCTTGGAAGAACTTATGAGAGAATACACACTCTTCAAAATCGGCCAAGCCCTCTTGTTTCTTAGTGTAGCCGATTTTGGGTGGAGAATATGTTACTTATATAGTGTTGACACATATAGGGTTAAACCCTAATGTGTCATGACTCTTCATTTCCATGACCCATGGGTTTGTAACTCCCATGGAGCATCCATGGAGCATCCTATGGGTGGAACCCAACTTGATAGTCCATGGAGCCTTTTAGCCCACTATACAAGATATGGATGATTTACATAATCAACCCATATATTTAATTAGTTATCTTTTGATCACTTAATTAATTCTAAATTAATTCTTGATCAAACTAATCAAATAATATTATTAATATATTAGAACTTATAATATATTAATAATCTCCAAGTATTATTTCTCTCATTTAGTCTATCCAATTGCATGGTGCCATGCAACCCAAATGGACCATGCCGGGTCGGGTCAAGTACATACCAGAAATAGTTATGGACTTAGACACCTTATCCAACAGTCTCCCACTTGGATAAGTCTAATAACTATTACTGCAAGTATGACTTCAGGAACCGATCGGCAATCGTAGCTCTTTTCAAGGTTTCTCGAAACTGAGAAATGATGGTACGCCATTTAAGATAAGTGATCATATAATCCTCTGTTCTAGATATCAGTCGGACAAATACATGGAACAATGTCTTACTTATTGTCCAACATTTGTTTCCCGATTTCCGATTTGTTTGACAAAGAACTTCATTGAACACATCAATTTAGTTCTGACCGGGCCCGGTACATAGGTCAAAACAAAACATCGAGGGGCCCAGATATCAGCTTCTAATCCAAGAAGGAACAGATAAACTTCGACTCATATGTTTGTTCTACTACTCATTGAATTACACACAAGAGCACGATTTTATAACATCGAGTTACCAATGCGTTTTTCGTACAATCAATGCATAACCAACTTGTAAGTAACAAATCATATCTCTAGGTTTAAAGACTTATATGATATTACCGTCTCACGATCACTCGAGATAGAATTCCATGAAGTGATTCCAGTGAGCGTGGGTTGAGTCCAATGCTCAGAACTTATGAGCACTCATGATTGTTGTAGCCTTGTCCCAGACCTCTACAACCAAACATGACAGTCTTGATTCATACCTACTTCCGACATATGACCGACTGTGGAGGTTTGAATAATA